TCCTCCTCCTCCTCCTCCTCCTCCTCCTCCTCCTCCTCCTCTGGTCCCTTGTAGCCATCATTTTCCATGATGCTTGTCCAGTATCTGGACCATACTTATTATCACGTCTTATAGTGATAACGTCAATTTTGTTCAGCTAAAGGTCAGGACACGCAAGAAATCAATGTGGGCAGCCAGGGAATGGTAGATTGTTTTATAATCTTCTTTGTTCCGCTTCGTGTTTCCATAGTTAGTTGTTCTAATAACACTGGTATACACTTATGTCTTTTACGTCATGTTTTATTTTTAGCAGCTAGGTTCGAATTATCGCGCCGCATAAACGACCTAAATTGTGTCGATTTTTGGGGGTCAGTCGTAGCATAGAGATGAGTTTGATGGAACCGTCTGTGGCTTTCTTTATCTTTGATGATTGCTCACTATTTTGAATAGAAAAAACAGTGTCGGAATCTCTGCAACTTAATGTTTATATATTTCATATCATAGTACAGTGTTTTACGGCGCTCGCAACTATGAGCGCCAGGGGGTGGATGTCCACAGAGAAGTCCTTACAGGGAATCAGACTTTCTCTGCTCACCACTCTAGCTTCAACAGCACAAGGTCTGCTTCGACTATCAGGGCACCCCGGAAATAGCAGGTCACAGGAATGTGAAAACATATAAAAGAGGTAGCATGTAGTAAGGATTAGGAAAGAAAAAGCAGCAGTTCCCTGTTGTAGATCAGGCACAGTTCACAGCACCTGGACATGGATGGCTGGTGCCTCTATAAATAAATCATTAATGGTCAAGGTCTTCATGCACAGTTATGAACGTGACATGAGTCAGCCCATTTACAATTCTACTATGCTTGAACGAGAAATGTCTCCCCTTTGTGAATGGCCTAAAGACACTACAGTCAGTGGCACTGTCCCGGGGGGGGGGGGGGGACTTAATGTTTAAATAGACTTGAAAGGAACAACTGGGATAAATGGTCATGGAGTAGAATATGACTCCTGTATATTATTAAGACCCGGTTGTCAACTTGCTACCTACAACCCGCTTACGAAATCCCCAACATATCTGCCACTGTACTGTCTTCCCACTTAGCTCCTCTCCACACTTGTCTTGGCCCGCTAGAATAGGCTAACGCTAACAATGTCACCTTAGCAGAGACTGTGCCCACCATTTCGGAACTTCGCGGTGACATTAAAGATGGTTCCAGTAGAGAACGGGATAGAGGGTGCCCACGTCCTCGTGACTCATCGGAGCAGAGAAAGATAGATCTAGGACTAACGCTAACATTTAGAAAAACTCAACTCAACTAACAGAAGTATGTTTTCTCAATAATTATTTACACAAACACCATCCAACATCATCACTTATCACCACCACCACCGTCATTTCTAAAATCATCATTGCTCTAAGATCCTTCACAAACATCTATAATTATCTTGAACATCTATATGTAACTGTTACATGTTAGAACAATGATGTACGTAATACACTATTGGACACTACCAAACGCACATTTTTCTACTAATCAGATGGCGTCAATATCATAGAAATGGGCAAGGGACCCCCTAAAAAAAACAACAACAAGAAAACAACAACAACAACAACAACAACAACAACAACAACAACAACAAAACATTTCAATAGAAAACACAGCACGTCTTTGGGGAAGTTTTTCATTGACGACATAACACACTTTGTGTTTCTTGTTAAGGTAGATCCTAGACAAAGCACCGGTCAGTCACCTACTCAGGCTTTGTTGTTTGTTTTTGTAAGTGTTTTACGGCGCTCGCAACTGCATAAGGTCATATGAGCGCGCGGGACACACTAAACTTTTTCAGTTGGTAGGAAATTTTGAATTTTGCCCGGGTGGCGGCCGAAGCCTACTCTTATCGATTTTAGACCACCAAGAGATCTTTAACGTGCACAACTGGCACACGGGACCTCCGAGATTTTTCGCCCTTGTCCGAGAAGGCTAGGTGTAGATCTTTCCTACCAGAAGATCAGGGGTGTGGCTGAAAGACAGCAGTAAGAAGAAGCCAATGAGTAGCAGTAGAAAGGCAGCAGAAAGAATCAGGAGCCCAGAGGAGGGGACAAAGGAGGTGAAGGGGTGGGGGCAGAAAGTGGAGACGAAAGCAGACGACAGAACATTGCTGGAGAGTAGGAAAGGAGGTGAAAGGAGACAAATTTAGAGAAAAATTTTGTGGTCGCTACCCGGATTCGAACCCGGGACCTTTGAATGAGAGGCGAACACCTTAACCTCTAGGCCACGAGAGCCCCCCCCCCCCACTAGATGAGCTGTCTGACTGTGTACCAAATGCAGCAGGAAGATAATACTGCGACTGGGTGTTGACTTTCATGTATTACGGCAAGCTCAACATA